ACAGTTCCCCCACATACTGTCTGACGACTGAACGCACTCAGAATTGGGACGAGAGAACAGGCGCGTGCGTGTGTGTATCAGACAGCAATGGATCATTCACGAATAGTGTAAACACTAACCTGACGCCAGTATTGTTCGATAATGTTTGAAATAAAGCGACCCTCGTCGCTTAGTAGAACAGTCTCGTAGATAACACCATTGTTAGTGCCTAGAAGAATTTCCTGTGTGGAATTCTGATCTGTATTGTACTTGTTCCATGCGACCGAATCGATGAGCATATCCTAAAACAAACAAACAAAAAACAATTGCAATCACAGATTACACAAACAGATTGCAGACAGTGATTCCAAGAAATGTATCATAGTCGAAAAGAAGCATGAACATGACTAACAGACCAACTGATACTGAAAGATGAAAATATACCACACATTAATTCAGCGCCAATCATAGGGGTACATGCCTAATCCCGATACCGTTCAAGCTGTTGGCGTCCGTCATTCTCCACCGATTGGACACTGCGTGAGGAGCAGGCTAGGTTTCGCGCTGGTCGTGGATGCATCAATCAAATCTTCACCCTCCGACAGCTGCTGGAGAATCATGTCTACCAAAGACCAACGGTCATTATATTTATAGACACCCGCGCGGCATTCGACTCTGTCGATAGGACCGCACTATGGAGGTGTTTGTTGAGGAACAGAGTACTTGAAAAGTATGTATCGATCTTGAAAGAGTTGTATCGTCATACCTCAGGATGGGTTAGGGCCTATGGCCATCTTTTACTACCCCTTCGCCGTCTCCGGTGGAGGTCGGCAAGGCTGCCCTGTATCCCCATTCCTTTTCAACTTTGTCATAGAGGATGTTCTGCAGAACGCTTTGTCCGGTCTAGCAAACGGTGGGGTTGAACTCCTCCCAGGGAGCAGAGTTTTTAACTTAGAATATGCCGATGAAATCGCCTTGCTGGGTGACAATACACAAGCAGTCCAACACGCTTTGAACCGCTTGGCGATCGAGGTATAATGTTACGCTATGTACTTTGCACCTTCCGAATGCAAAGTGTTTGTTCAAGACTGAGAGGAGTCTGAGCCTGCAATCACCCTCTGTGGTGATTAGCTAGAATTAGTCGAGAGCTTTAAGTACCTCGGGAGCTTGATCACAGCTGCTGGTGGTGTTACGGAGATCACATCACAAATAGCGAACTCTAGAGCAGCTTTCGCCAACCTGCGACACCTGTGGCGCCGCCAAGACATTCGACTGTCCCTTAATGAAAAGGGTTTATATCGCCGCTGTTCGTAGCGTTTTGCTTTACGGTTGCGAGACATGGCCTCTCCGAGCGGAGGATGCTAATCGACTCTGTATTGGACGACCGATGTCTCCGAAGAATTTTTCATGTATGGTGGGAACATCGGGTGAACAATGACGAGGTCCATCATCGCATGTGGGGGGATAGTCGTTCTCGAACAGAAGTAATCGCTTTAAACCGCCTCTGATGGCTTGGTCACGTATTGCGTGTGTCTGTTCATCGACTACCTCTCCCTCCTCCATTTTCACGTGCTGAAAGAGGCGGCGCGGCGGTCAGACCATGACATGACGTAGAGGCATGAAGAAACTAGCTTCAGGTTCGGCTTCGGTTGGTGCAGCCGGCCTTCCAGGTTGGGGCTCAAGGGATGAGGATTGTCGTTGGTTAGAGACGCTGAGAGATATGATCCAGAATAGAAGTCAATGGTGCGAATGCTGTACGGTTTGCCTGTTGAAATCCCGTGCCCCATAAAAAAAAGACAAACTAATAGACAAAAGAATTCAAAGAATGCACGTTGAAACACACCAAAAAAGTGTTATCCCGTTTATTTGTAACGTTGATGGTTGTACAAACTGAGCTGAAAAACTCAAGTGCGTACAGCCCACCTTAGCATAATCAAATGCACATTGTGAGGTAGCTGTGTTGGTGCATAGCTACCGGTGGCTTCCTGGGAGATAATTTGCTATTCGTTGAATGTGGACACAACCTAGGAATCTATGCGTCCCTGTTCAGTGGATATATT